TCACACTCCTTGAGAAAAGATGATCTCACAAGATCCATTTCCCTCTCATCATCTTCATCAAAAGAGTTTAATATATCAATGAACGAAATGAAGTTTCTTTCCAGTAATTTAATTGCAACATCTCTGTCCACTTTTTGCCGTTCCACGTCTACATGCTTTCCTTGTAATAGAGGCAAGACCTGCAAGGTAGACAAGCACATACAAAAATTGATCCCCCATAATTTTAATCATAAACAAAAAGTATATATGAGATAGATGTTAATTACTTATGACATTAATTACCTCTCCCAAAACACAGCCAAGCTGAGCTACAAAGTCACATTCTTCACAATAATAAACACATTCTCGAGGATCTCTTTCCATCTCACAATCAAGAACGTCGCAAATATACACTTGATCTTCAGAAGCATCATCAATATGACAATCTTTAAGAACAAGAGGATCAGCGTGGCAAGGATGTTCAATTACACAAGGGAGTGGAACACACATGAGGTGGACATTGAAATCACACTCCACACAGCGTAAATAGGAGTCCCCACAATATTTAGAATCATTAGAATATTTAGAATCACCAGAATATTTAGAATCACCAGAATATTTAGAATCACCAGAATATTTAGAATCACACACATGGCAAGGAGGCTTCCCATAAACATGATTTACAAAAGTAAGAAGATGCTCATCATGACCTTCATATTTAATAGAAGGTGCCAAGGAAGTACAATCAACGTGGAGATCAAAGTTGCATGACGAGCAGTTGTAGGTGAAGCCACTCGAGTGCACAAAGCATGCATTGCATTGAAATGATTTATCGACGAGAGTAAGAGGGTGTTTGTGAAGTTCATGCTGAATCTCTCGTTGTAATTCGCAGCAAGATTTGTGTAAACAAAAGCTGCATCTATTGCAAGAGTAAGTGGCACCCGAGCATTTCTTTCCACAAGCTCTGCAGCAAGCACCATCATAATCTTTCATGTGAGAAAGTGTCAATGGATGTCCATGGCTAAAATGATCAATCATCTTGTGACGAAGAACACATTCAACATCCATATTTAAATCACACTTCTCGCATCGAAAAACCACACCTGAACGAATTTGGTCACAAATGCCACATCGGTAAGGGGGAAGCTTTTTCAGGAGCATAGGACATGGATGGCGGAAGTTCATCACCTCTTTCATCACATGTTCCATACAAGCTTTATGCACATAGTACCCACAACGATCACAGGAAAATGTAGGACCCGAGCAGAACTTTTCACACACTTTGCAACTCAGTTTGTCCTTTTCTTCCTTCTCCAGAATTGGCAAAGGATGGTGATTACCCGAATTTTCATTCTGCTCGTCACAACAAGATGCCTTGTTTTGCAGTGAGGCACATTCAGTATCCAGATTAAAATCACAAGGTTCACAACGGTATCTGAAACCTGGTATATATTTCTTACAACCAAAACATATACTTCTTCTTTCACTATCCTTAGCATAATCCTTATGCAGAGTAAGATGACATTTGTGGAAGAAGCTGTCAATCTCCAAGGGAAGCTCCACACAGGATTTATGCAGATAAAACTCATGCTCACAGCAACCATAGCTTTGACCTGATACGGTCTTCCCACATCCTTGACACAAGACTTTATCACCAATAGCCTTCTCCATTAGCATTAATGGACTACCATGGCACAAGTGTTCCATCCCTTTTTACACCAGCAAATTATTTCCACGGCTCTTCCCCACAGATTTGTTCTGTAATTTAAGATGCTGAACACTTAAGTAGAAGCTGCGCAATAAAGATTAAAGAAAACTACTGTGCATTAACTATGTTTAGAGTACAAGTTGCTTTTACTCTTCTTCACAAGTATTATTCTACTTCTTAAATACTGATTCTTTGCTAATTGTAGTGTATATAATAGTTTATCTTACCCTATGACCCACAGCACACCGTAATG